ACTTCAAGTGATATCATCTTTAACATCGGATTAGTCTTGAAAAGAGCAACAAACAAGAATAAAGAAATGGTCTTAAGTGTTCAAAGAAGAGAGAAACTAAAACCATTCTTAAACACACACACAAATGGCTGATATTTCTTCGAATGGATTTCGCTTGAAAAGTGAATAGAGATAACGACACCTTCTACTTTTTCTCCGGTTGCTTTCTATTTCACCTCTTACCTGACATAAACAGGCTTAATCGACGATTAACAAACAACCCACTTGAAAATGCCAATAGCGATCGTTATTGTAAAACCAGCATAGAGTCAATGTATCATCGTGTTTCTTTTTTTTTATTTTCAATTTCATTAAAAGATTTTCGGCGAGGATTTGCAAGCGATAAATGCACTTTACACATCGTCGTTACGCTATTTTCAGATTTTGTGTTCGCGCCCCCTTTTCTCACGACAACGCAACACATTTAATCCGAATTTAATGATCTATTTATGTCAAATACGATTTACTACAGCTACTTTATACAGAAAAATTCTATCGAACTCGGTGAATGTCACACTGTTGAGTGTTGACATAATATTACTATTATTATTATATGCACATCTGGATTAAACGCATCATATTGCCCCATACATTGTCACACATTCAATTTTCAATGGAATCATCCCTCTGTTCAGTGAATATAATGAAAACAGGCTCTCAAACAACGTAATATTCAATTGAAATTTTTACAACAAATTACACAATAAAGACCAAATCGCTCCTGGAAATTGCACACACATACACACACACACAAATGACAAAAATAAGAAGAAGAACAATAAAAGAACAACAACCATTTATGCAACACATCGTTTCAATAATATTCACAATTCACACCTACGCCATTGTACAGCCATTGTACATCGATTCTTAATCCCTGAACCAATGCAAAAGTGAAATGGGTGGCTGACAAACTGCAAACGATTAACCTGAATGTCAACAATGCATGTGGAATATTAACACATGCTTAACAATGAACATTTTCTATGTTCATCAACATCCGATACTTTTTTCGTTTGTTACTGCTGTTTTTCACACAATTTTTCGAATCGACCACATTCATATTCGCCTTTTTTTATTCAAAAAAGGTTGTACGACTCTATTCTGGAATGACACTTATATTTGTCACATAAACAGCAATCAAATTATGATTTACAGAAGTAGACCGTTAAATAACCAAAATCAAGGGAAAACACACTTTTCAATCGACGATAATAATGACAATAAGCATTTCCCGAGTTCAATGTGTATGTATGTTGCTTTTTGTTCGGTCGGAAAGGTTTATGCTTTTCAAAATCATCAAAGAATATGTCATTCAAATATTTTCTCGTCTTTCACGCTGAATGAATTGGTGCGTAATGGCTTCACCTTTACCGTCGCTTTAATTATGACTGAGAATGTATTTTGAAACCAATGTTACATTTTTTTTTCTCGTCTTCTGTGAATGACGACCGATTTTTTGCTCTCTTTAAATATAAACCAGAATGTAGATCAGCATATTTTTGATGAACAACTAACAAAACAATTCTTAAAACATTTCCGTCAAATGACGAAAATCAATTTAAATCATTTTATTTTATTGACAATTTTTTGCGGGATGTTATCTAGACCGAAATTTATCGTAGATATTTCGCTCCATCGATTCCTTGTAGACAAGACTAACCAAAAATATTTATGGATTGAAACATCTGTGTATTTCGTTATAATTAAGATTCATAATTAAAGTGAAAATATCTGTTTTTTTGCACAAAGTTTATAGGCGTTTCCCGTTTTCTACAGATTCAACGATTTACTATTCTTTCATTAGCCTTTTATTAAGTTGCAGCATTTACCAAATTCATATATTTAAAATTTATTTTTTAATCGATGAAAACTATAGTTTTCAATCAAGAATAATGAATTATAGTATTCAATTCAGAAATGTGTAAAAAGATATATAAAAAATATTAAACGAAGTTGTTCTCTAAACCAAGTTGGTCCAACAATGGTCTTCTATGAAATTGATTCTTAGCACTGTGTATAAAATATCAACAAAGTGAAACGTAATAGCACTTCTCTAATTATGCAATGATAGTCGCTGCAAGATCAAGGTATGCAATTTTGGTGTTTGGTGTAGGTACGAAAGCATATGCTTTTCTAATTAAAGGAAATCCAATCGTTTTCTCATATTGCTAAAAGAGTCATCTGGCTAACGTCAGGCGCCGAAATGGAGCGATCAACATTGTCTGACTGCTAATAATAAGGGCCATCCACAGCGTCCAAAACATCAATTCTTCAATGTAATTGAAATTATTTTTTGGACTGAATAGACTGATTGTATCTGTATTCGCGGATATTTCTGTATTGTTTTATGCTAGTGAACGCGGATATGTAACCGTTACCGCGGATATATTTGTTCATGTTCGTCCCCAAAAAGGTACGGATACCTGCAGATACACATATGGGGGTGATCCTAATGAGCCCAAATCCTAACCTAGGAGGCTTTTGGCCCCGATTTTCTATACACTAATCAATAGTTTAGTTAATACTTACTTTATAAATAGAGCAAGAAGCATTGATCACATAACTGCATAAGAATAAAAAAGCATAAGTGCAAAGTGTTCAAGCAAAAGAAATTAGGATAAAACCGCAGCAATAACCCGTATTTTTAATGTCAACATTTGGATGTCAGAGTGTGTTGAAATTGGTGATAATATTATGAAACGCACTTTGTAAGCCGCTTTCATCACATACGTTTGCTTAGCATACTCGATCTATTTCTTATTGACGGTTGCGAACATTCTTCAAATCGTTTATGTTCACTAAAGTGGACACGACAAATGAGTTTTTCCCGTTGCATGTACATCCATAATGGGTATTTAAAAAGAACGCATCCCGACACTATCTAGCTGTTTAGAAGTAAATGTAGGATAAATCCAAATAAAAATGCATATGTATGGTAATTTGAATTTAATATTTATTCATAAATCACGCGATTTTTCGTTCCAATAGATTGTATTAATAATGTTTTATTGAAATAAATAACCATAGATTTTTTTGTTATCACTAGAATAAAATAGTTTTGATGCTTTGTTGTTGTTGTTTAAATACAATTTGTTGTGTGTTATTTTCTTTTCTCACAATAAATAATAGCAGCAATTTTATTTTGGTTATAAATGCATTTAATGAGATTAACATTATTATTACTTTTATTATTATTTTGTTTAAATGTAAAATATGCATTGAAAATTGAAATTGAATCAGATTGAATGATTGATATTTGGGTGTATGTTGCACGAACTAACAAAAACGAAATAAATTCATTATATACTTATTTTTATCATATATTTTTGTATATGCGTATGTGTTGTCGAAGTGATATAACGTTTAATTGCGCCAAAAATTATTGCAATAAGACAAACCACATGATTTGAACGATACGAACTCTCTCCCATTGGATATGTTTTAATTTTTCATGCGTTTTTCTCTAGGATTTTATTTTCTTGGTGATAATGTTTGTACGTTTGTATGGAACAATAACTGAAATTGTTTTTTGTTTGTAACTTAATATTTTAATGTTTCGATATCAATTTTTGTTGTTGTTGCAATATTCGCTGTAATCGATGGTGGTGTGATATGTCCAATCACAGTTCGAATCAAGCTTTTTAATCATATATTTTAGAATATAATTCTCGTGTATTACAAGAAATTAAAATAACAAATTAAACATTTAGATTAACGTTTTCGGCAAAATGGAAAAATAATTGGCATTTTAAAGAGCCATTAAATGCATACGATATAGGGAAAAAAGGTGTATTGAAAATTCAAATATAATAGCGTGTGATTTGAAGGAATATGTTGTGCAAGTACGAGCGAAATATGGTAGTGATTTTGATTAAAAAAAAAGGAATATTTGACTCTCGTTTTTATTGAGCCAATTTTGTTCAATTCATTTCTAAATTCTATTATAATATGTATATATACCCGTGTGCCCAAAAAAAGTAACCGAATCACCAGTTAAATAATTTTGGACGTTATTTATTAATTAATAACGAAGATGTGTACGATTTGATGATAGTATATTTAATTTTAAATTGGAGGTGAACACTGAAGAATTCTTACATATGACACTGATTGCACTTTTCAAAAAAAAAAAACTTATGCACCAAGAAGAACGTCCTGTGTCATTAAAAGTGCATTTTTGCGATTGTTTGAGTTAAATAACTGAAGTTTTTGATTAGAGACTGTTTCCCAGAGCAATATATAAGAAGAGAAGCCAGAGGAGCACTGAGTAACAGAGTCTCCTAAGTCAGGAGAAACATTTTAAAAGTTAAAAAATTTCAATTAATGATTTTTTTAACTTTTAATGTTTAGCTTTTCACTGCTCCTTCGGCTTCTCAGAGCGCCTATTTTGCCATGAGAAACCGTTTCTGTTTTTGAAAAAGTTCTTTTGTATTTATATGTAAAATAACATTCAATTTCTTCGCTTTAACCACACTGGACATTTTTTGGAAAAATGTTCCAAACTAATCAGCTGATTTGTTGACACCGTGTGATTGAATTTCATACAAAAATATTGGTTACTTTTTTTGTGCAAGGGTAAGTGTTCAATGGCAGGTCTATCGAAGGAGAATATGTAAAGTGAGATATGTCCTATAATAATTTGCCTGCATTACATTTTTACCACATGATTAAACGCAAATAGTTTTTGTTTTGTTTATCTTAATTTTTGGTTTCATTTAAAACATTACATTTTCATAACTTACGATTTAAATTTTTTCTATTTGATTTATGCACTACGCTTCTTTTTAAATATATTTTATATTAAATGTATCATTTTTTATAATTTTTTTTTTGTTCAATTTAAATTCTAAATCAAAATGGAAGACTTTTAACTTTTTTGTATATATAATTCATTTCATTCATATTTTCAGTTTGTTTATTTTTTCTTCTTTAAATAGTTTAAGCATTTGTTTTTTTTTTTTTTTGTTTGAATGTCAGTGTTTTCACGATTGACTTTAGAACAAGGTATATAAGTGTTTTTTTTTAAACTGTTATCGAACGAAAAGAGAAGAATACGCCTGTGAGTCAATATAAAGTCCATTGAACTGGATTCTTCCGGAGGGATATTGGCAATTATTGCAACGTTGATATATTTCACTGGCGTTCAGTGAATTTTTAGAATAAAATTGTACATTTTAATCTAATTTTTTTAAATAAGATATGAGAGCTTCATATTTTCCACGTCGAAGAGGAAGATTGTGTTAATTTTTATCAGATTTAAAAAAATCAGTAATGTAATTATGTGTATGTTCACTTTTCTTTCTATTCATTCCCCTAAACTTATATAAATCTTGACATTCGATATGCAATTATAATACGATTGTTTAATTTTTTTGGTTGCAATTCGGATTGTAGTGCGTTGTTCAATTTCTGTGATTTTCTTTCAATGAATATACTTCTTTTCTTTGGGCATCATAAATTAAAGATTCCTAAAATACATATTTTTTGAGTAATTGTTGTGTTGTACTTTTTTTGTTGTTATTCTTTCGAAGTATGAGGCAATTTATATATAATAACAATTGAATCGCGTGGATTTGGCGAATTTTTATTTTGAAAATTAAAAAAAAGATTGAATTTTTTTTCCAAGATCCACATTTTTTTGTTTTTCGTTGAGTTTAGATTTCGGGTATGACAATTCATCACGTTGGAGCTTCAAAACCGAAATTCATTGGATTTCAACATTTATACAGAAAAATCAAGAATAAATAAAACAGAACAAAAGAAATTGCTACTCAATCGTCGAGAAAAATGATCTACCCGATGAAGAATCCTTTTAATTTACTCCATTGTTCCATATTGAAACTTTTTAACTTTGTAATACCTAAACGGATGTATTTATTGAGATGAGAAAAATGCATATTGATTGAACTCTTTCTTTGTACATTGTTTAGTGCAAAAAATAATCGGAACTTACCTCCATACTCCATATGCACTAATTGCTGCTAAAGCTGCTATTGCTAACGTTGTTCCAACAAAAAATGGTGCAGATTCATCGCGATAAGTTCCTATAAATGGGAAATCAAATCACACATTCATTATATATTTTTTTTATAATTTGTTTTCAAAAAAGAAAATGGGGGGTTAGTTCATACGTCCTCAGCAGGGGTCCGAGGGGTCCGATTACCCCCCTGACGAAGTGTTACCCCTTGAAATTTTTTAAAGAATTCTTTCAATTTGCTAGGGACTTTGGCTAAAAAAGTGAAGACCTTTTTTCTTGCTCTACAACTTTTGAAATGGAAGAAAATCTTTGAAATTGCTAGGGTTTTTCGCGAGAAATTCTTCCGATTTGCTAGGGATTTTCGCCAAAAAAGTGAAGAGCAAAAAAAAACGAAAAAAGTACACTTCCCTTTTTAGCTTACCCCCCTTAAATTTTTCCCTTGAGGACGTATGGGTTAGTTCCCATGTGGCATTGAACAAATTTCAATTTTTCACCAGATAAAAATGAAAATTTCAACTTTTTAAAAAATAAAATAAAAAATAGTAACTGGTATGCATTAAAATATATATAGCGACTAAAATATTCTATTAATTTGCAAGTGACAAAGTTCAGTTTAATTTCAGTTTAAATCAGATTTTACTCTGTTCAGTGTGCCATTATCAACTAATGCACTAATTTCGGAGCAAAAAAAAGATTTACCTGTGGCCGAGCACTGGAATGGTGGCCCCCAAGTGTTGGCTGCTCTGTACATAAAACTTTGCATTCGTAGTTCACGTAAATTAAGTTTGGCTGTGTGTCCAATTCGATCATTTTCATCCTATTATTAAAGAAACAAACAAGTGACTTATTACCATATCAATTATGGATGCGAATAATAATTGCATACCCGTGAATATAGAATTATATCAGATTCATTGCACATGTATGATTTACCAACTGGTGTTGGGAACAACAGAACTCTTTGGTCAGATGACAATTTCACCTGAATTGCATATACATAGAAATAAATATTTAAATGTTTCATTGTAATTTCAAAATCAAACATTTGATATCAGTAAAACAAAAAATCATGAACTCACTGGTAGATTTGGTCGATCAATTTGTCTAAGCAATGGATTTGATGAGGAATACGATAAGTCAATGGTACTCACATACCATCGTTCACCGCCTGGTTCCATTTGGCAAAGATGAAATAAAATCGATTTATTTAGACAAAAGGAATGAGTATTTTTTCGCATATTGGATTACCTGGTGTTTTCTTAAATATCATAAACAATGTAAAACCTTTGAATTTCATTGTTAAATTTTCAATATCCTCTTCGGAACAATCTCCAGAAAGTTCAACGTCATCGGGCATAAATGTGTTGGCGGTGACATCTTCACCCGATGACGAACGATATGTGATATCCAAAATGCCATCCGTTTTAATGAGAATACAAGTGATTCCCTTCGTATTGTTAACTCGATAAAGTGATACAGATGCTGCAGACTCAACCTATTCACAATGACAAACAAAAATCGCTCAAGTAATTTGAATGTCCTAATTTTGAATGTGTCACACAGAGCGGGCACAAATAATTTTCTTAAAAAAAATCGATATTATTCTAATTTCTATGTCATCTCACTATTGAAGTCATTATATCTGACGTGAATAAATTTGTTTAAATACTCACTGCTGCTTTCGCTGGATACTTTGTAGTTCGTGGTTTTTTCGTTGCCAATCCTTCCAATTGTAATGCATTCGTCATATAAATGAACATACCTGTTCGATAAAAGAACAACAATTTCAGATACACACACACACATGCCAAATTATCAATCGATTGATTTGACGAAAATGAAAATTGAAAACTTCCAAATATTTACCCAAAACAAACGCTAATCGCAATGACCAATTGGTGATTCGGTCGAAATTTAGTTTATTTATATTTGATAAATAATTCATTTTGATATGGTCGTTTTGTGACAGCACATACAACAGATTTTCGTTCGAAAAACGAGCGAAGGATTTTTCTTATCACTAACACACACGGGCGCAAACACACCAAATATTTTTATATTTCAATTTTCTCCAAAATTAAATTGAAAAAAGAAAATTACGAATTTTTTTATTTTACTTTTACACCACCGTTATTCAAATCGCGTCCGTAAATTTAAATAGAATATTCCTTTTCCCTGTCAATAAATTAAATTGTTTCACGAAAAGCAAGTATTTTTGAAGTTTAGCTTTTCATGTGACCTTTTCCTCGTTTCTCATTCACACTTATCGGGCCGTCTCACTCGGGACTTGTGCACGAATACACACGCGTACCACTTGTTTACTTTAGTGTGTAGGAGATTTTCGCGAAAGAGACAGTTTATCGTTACATTCATTGTTGCGCTGCTGCTTTTGTCGCCTTCAAAACACGTATGCAGGACAAAGACGAAGTACACATGGAGTCTTTTTCGGTGTGTGTAAATTTTCCACATTTGCAAACGGAGAAAAAGCCAGAGAATATCGATGAAAGAAATATCGGTTTTGGAGTTGTATTTGTGTGTGCTTATATCTCGCATGCGCATTTTATCCATTCACAGAAAACACATCGCAGTGTTAAAACTTATCAAAATAGGATACACATCATTTCGTAACTGTGTTAAAAAATACTTCCTGACATAATGTGAGAAAGAGATATTCTATTGTTTTAATGAAAAATTTACTCAAAACTAACTGATTAACAGTGTTTTTGTCGAATTTGACGACATAATTAATTGAATGAGACTTTTTTTTGTTTTATATGTGTCCCTCGTTCTTTCTAATATTAAACCAATTCAAAAAGAAAATCACCGTTAAAAAGTAGCAAACGAAAACATAGTCAGATAATGTTCAGTTACATGTAAATGACATGAATATTCTACTTTTCGTGTTTTCATAAGTAGTTGGAGTCAGTTCGGTTAATATGCGAACTTTTTGAATTCAATTTAAAGGGAAACAGAAGAATAATTCAATTCACTCTCATTCTCTCTCTTTTTATGAAATTATGGAGAAAAATGAAATTAAAAACTCAGGAAAATTATTGAAGTTCTGAAATTTTGCACTGGGCACTTTATTTTTTTTTTTTTTTCAATATCCATGAATTTTATGAAATTCAATTTCGTTGTTAATTTAGTTGTTTTCGTTAATAATCTTAAATTGTTGTGAAAATCCTGTGTTTTTGTATTGAATGAGTATTTTTTTTCTGCATAAATTGATTTTGAACGATTTACCAGAAACACAATGGATCAATATGTGTAAGCGGATAAGTTTCTTGTCGTTTCAATGTGATCAAGCTGAGATCTATTGAATTGCTGCTCAATTTTGTTTTAAAATAACAATCATCATCTATTAAGATCGTGATCTTGCACGCTCCACCTAATTTCTGACGCTCTTTATTCCATGTTGACAGGTCTAAAAGATTTTCATGGTAATTGTAACCATCGACGATATAAATTTCCTTCAATTTTGGCGAATATTTTATAAACGGCAAAATATCACATGAATTTATTAATTTAAGATATTTCAGCCAAATACGTTCAAGATTAATCATACATTTTGCTACATGGACCAATTCAGTTTGATAGATCACATTCTCATTATTATTGGTATCTATAATAATATTAATATTAAAATTAAAATTAATAGCGCATCGCATAATCATCCTCGCTGTCCAACTTGGCCATAATTCTTTGACATTGGCTAGATAAGAATAGTCTGAACCTGGTTATTTGAACGAAATATCAATAATAAAATGTATTTGATCGATATAAAAAGATAAAATAAAATGCATTCATACCAGGTTCTAAAATGATAGACGCCTTTAACATTCCAACGCCATTCACCGCAATAGTTGCCTTATTCAAATCGGAGGTAGTGAAAATATTTATTCGTTTGTAGAAACCGCTGTCATGGAGTGTGTTCAGAATATCTGTTGGCATCAGGTTATAGTTTTTAATGGTGAGTTCATCGAGCTGGACTTTTGATTCAATCAAGTAATCGATACATTTTTCGAGATCCCAGCAATGCGCTACGAAGCTCCGAATATTTGGATTTAGCTGGAGAAATGTCAACAGTTCTTCTTGTTTAATGGTGAAAGGTTTTTCTTCGATCAATTGAAAATGCACAAGTTTTGGATACTTTCGGCGCAGCCAATCGCATTTTGACAAAAATCTAGTTGAGCCAATTAACAAACGCTCCAAATTCACACAATGTTTCAACAAACAGTCGTACAAATCGTCAACAACAGTGCATTCAACCATTTGTATTACTTTAACACCGTTTAATAATGGGATGATTTCATTTACTTTACATTTTGTTAATCTGCATCCATCGAATTTGATTTGCTTGAGAGACCGGTCGAGTTTTGACTTAATGTAGTGATATTGTTCCGTTTCCGTTTGTTCATCAACGATGGTGTACTCTTGTTTTGGAAACTTTCGATACCAACCGACAATGGTTATGCTTTGGATGAATTCGGAGAGACCATCAACATTTTGTCCCATCATGAATGGATAACCGTGCCAAATTTTGACAAAACTTCTTGGATAATTGCGTTGAAAGTGTTGTCCGGCAAGTTGTTGTAGTCGTTTGCACGTTTTTCCAATTGAATTTAAATCATCCAGTGATAGCCATTTGAATATTTCTTCGATGCAATATTCGTTCAGCTCAGATATGAATGTTGATTGACTTTTATCATTGTCATTGTTAAATTTGCATCGTTTTCGTATGGTATTGATGTTATGAAGTGCTCGTCGTTTAACAGTTTTTGTATCTGTACTTGGTGCTTCCATTTTCGTTGCTGTTCATTCAATTCTGCCGATATATAGAAAAAACGTTAACATTCAAAAGTGCAACAAGAATTGAAAATCCAAATATGTAGTTACCGTAAGTTGCGCAGAAACAATGATGACTTTTTATATTGATAAACTAATTGATGTGAAGTTGTGCCCACATTCAATGACATTTGAAATTGATTCAAATTATATTGTTCACCACTCACACAAACGGAACACAAAATATACATTTCACAAACGGAAGGCCAGATGGAATTTAATTACAAAAAAAAATAAAATAAAATAATAATAAAAAAATTTGTATGTAAAACCAAATTGAAATCATATACAAATTCGAAAATTGAATGCAAATAGAAGTGTCAACGGCAATAAACGCTTGTGCAAAATATGAAGAACGATAATGCTGTGTATTGAAATATGAAAGATGTGTTGGTGGCCGGCTGTATTATATTGAATAAAAATATTCGGTGGGCTGTACATATACATACATGTTCACACCGACCAATTCGCTTGAGACGAAGAAATTTTCAATAAAAAAAGATAAAAAATAAAATTGACTTCATGTCTGTCGTTTTTTTTTTCTCAATATTTTCACGGAAAAATGTAAACAACAATCTCTAAAAGTCAGTTCAAACTAAATACAGACATAAAGAAGTCCAATAATTATGGTAATATTAAAGGTCCAATTCTAGTTTCGCAAGATGCATAACGGTTGAGAAAAAAATGTTAAATTATTTGATTGTAATTTATTTTAAATATTTTCCGAAGTGACTTTTTGCTCATGCACGAAAAACAGGCAAACAATACAAAACATGACAAATGCAACTGCAGCTAATGCTCCCACTATATGTGTATATGGTATAGGCTTGTGTTCATGTAATAGTTCCAAGAAACTAAAACGAAATTGACGTAAGCTTAGAATTGCTTTATGCTGAGCTCGATCGTGTACATCCTGTGATTGAAAATATGCTTCGTTAATTATATTATAATTTTAAATAAAATTTGAGCGAAATGTTCAAGGTAAAAAACACCCTGTTTAATGACAAAAAAGTGTTTATTCGATGTATATAAATAGCTTACCCTCGTATATAAAATAATGTTGCAATCGTTGCATACATAAACGTCGCCATGTAGCTCGTACGATCTAAGTGGAGTGAGGAATAAAATGGTATTGTAATCCGATGACAATATCACATGCATATTGTTAGGATGATCTGATTGTTTGAATACGGGATTCGACGTGGAGTAAATGAGATGGATCGTATTAATATACCATTCTTCGCTGTCTGTTGTTTTTTTAAATTTCATATCAAGCGTAAATCCGGAAAATTTCAATGATAAACTCGCCCAATTTTCAATCGAACAATCTCCAAAGATGCGATCAACGTCATTTGGTAATGGAATGCTAACGGTTGCATCTTCATCTGATGCAGTACGATAGGTAATGTTAAACATCCCAATGGTTTCAATGAGAATACATGTTTGACCATCATTGCGATGAATGTGATAATGTGAAGCGTACGTTGTTTTTTCCTGTGGCCGATAAAAATGTTGCATTCATGTGATATGTGCAAAAAAACAATTATGTTATACCTACCACTGGATTTGTTGTATTCTGCACTTCGTCCAATTCGAATGCATTCAACACGTACATCAACACTCCTGTTTAATCAAAGAAATGCTTGAGTCTACTTTGTCTCTTTGTTTTGTTCTTTGAATAAAAATTTAAACTATTTATATGAATTTATTTACCAAAAACAATTGTCAATTTCAATATTCCATTGGATAATTTTGATTTATTTACAAACGCGAACGAGTTCATTCTGTAACCAAAGCAGTGGTTTTGTGACAACTCATACAAAATAGTCAAGTCTTACTAAAAAAAAGAAATGAAATGCATGGCATTTATTTAACTATTTACCTTTGACCTATTCTTTTGTTTTATGTACACGGTACCGATAATATTGTTTTATTCGTGCAAACGGTAGAGCACAAATACCAAATACATACGCATTTTCTACCCTTAATTACTTCTTTACACGATAGCATAATTTAAATGTTTGACGTTTTTAGTTTCGTTGCTTTTCACTTTCTTCAACGGAGCATTGCACCCCATTCATTCGTTTGTTTTGAGCATTGTACCAATACAACCACTTTGCAATTAGCAACAATGTTTGAAGACTACCTTGATGCTAAAAATACAAGAGAATACATGATACCTGTATTTTTAATTCAATGAGTAAATTAGTTACATGCTATAAATATCGCCAAAGCACTACTACGGCGTTGTATGTAACTTTTTTTTTTTTCAACATGAGACGTGCACTTTGGTGTTTAAATCGTTTTATTCAAGATTTTAGAAGGTATCAAACGCTTCAGATAGAATATCTTCAAGGGAGTGGAATGCTATGTAAAATGTTGGCGAACAAAAATCTTACAAATTTGTCGGACTAAACCTTATAGTTCTATGAACAAAATCACACAAATATGAGATAGTCAATACGAAATTTTTAAATCAGATTCTATCCGATAGATGGCGTTACGGTTTGGCACGTTGCCAGGTCTCTCATATACGAGCCATTCCCTTGATATCTTAATATTTAAATTAATGGCTCACTGTCAATGGTCCCCCAAATTATCCATTATCCAACATCCATTCATCCATGGATAGATTTTGTTTTAAAAAGGACAAGATAAGTAATATCCATAGATGTTTTTTTAATGGATAAGTTACATCCACCATCCATCAAAAATTTATTCATGAAGAAAAGAAAGAGAGAGATCCACTTGGATAGAGGAGAGTTATAGTGCATCCGTGGATAGAATAGATGTTAGCTTATCCATGGATGAGTTATATTTTATAGATAAATAAATAAGTTGAATTTCAAAAATACGAATGAATGGATAAAAACTCTACATCTCATTTGACATTTCATGTGAAGTATTCGATTAGTATATAGAAATATTGGATGATGGATGAAACATCTGATTCATTTTGGATTTGACAAGATAGATCAACAAGTTTCAATTTTCAGTTAAAAACATGTATTCTATTTTTTGTCTGCATTTTTATTTCAGTTCGAATTGTTGACATTTCTTATTCTGAAGTTTAATTCATTAAGTTGATTGGATATTGGGTGGTTTACTCATTAATTCAGCGTCCAATCACATCAAGGAATGATTTTCGATGATCTTTTTATGATTCGTTGAACACTATATTTTTTGTATTAAGTTTTTTGAACATTTTTAGAATC